TTTTTTTTTTGGAAGATAGGAAGGTAAACACACAGAAGTTATTACATATTCTGCTTTTTGGGATGTATTTTAGCAATTCAACAGTACAAACACTCCAAGCTACATTTTTCTTAGATATTGTGGGCATTTGGTTGCACATTAGCCTTTATTTTTGTCAGACAAGTCTCATGTCACCGAACAATTACAGTAACAGCGAAGGCTATTAAAAACAAAGGAAATTTTTTCGGTTTCACTATTTGTTTGAGCTAAAAAAATTAAGCTCTCAAAGCCTGTTGAGAATTGTGGCATTTGTCTTGATTGAAGATTTTTGATTCTCCTATACGCAGTGAACAGCAGTAACGCTTTATCTTGGTTAGTACAGTCTGCAGATATCATGATTTGGTGAATAAGCTGGTTATTGGCAGTCTGTTTATGATATTATGAGGAACGGAAGAGTTTCATTACAGAGGAAATAATTTTGATTAGTGATTTGACCATTTCATTGGAGGTTTTGCTTAAAAATTACTGAGATGTTGAGGCACGCAGTTAAATCTAGTAACTTTGAGATGCAGCGACACCGCAGAGAAGCAGCAGATCCAGAGTAGTTTGCATATAGCTACATTAAACGTGAAAATGGTTTATATCGAATTTTACATAAAACTAACCACTGTCGACAGGCGAAAATTTATAATTACATTAGCAGCTTTCTTTGGCTTAATACTTGTACTGAATGACTTGCATGCCGTGTTCTTGATTTAAAATAGGTGTTTAAGAAGTTCATTGTTGGTTCTCTAACTCATTGCAATGTGACTGTTTCTGTTTATGAGTTTATGTGGTAAATTATTAACACTATAACTGGTGGATGGTTTTTTTCAATTTTCGGACACAATGCTCACATTTGTTCATCTTTTTTTTTGAAATATGACCGTCAAAGACTATCGAAAAATTTCTACGTTGCCACTTCTTTTTGGAAATTGCTAAATCGCTTTGCGGTTGTTGCCGATCAAATAAACAGAGTTTCAATATTATAAGCTACAAAAAAAATTTCTCTCATTTGGAGTGTATTTTTGGTTTGAAAATCGCTTGTTTGTATAAGAAGTTTTTGCAAATATTTTTTAACATTCAACGAAGAAATTCGTGTTATAAGCATATGGCTTCACTGCTTTCTTGTCTATGTAAGCATTTATTTTTACATCTAAACAAAACGAGGCATTTCAGTATTCAGTACGGTTAAAAGAAATAAGTGCTGCTGCTTCACTGGTATATTATGAAAAGTTTGAAATTTACAAGCTTTTTGGTAAGCATTCTAAAGATCCAATCTTGGCCATTATGCACAAGACCTCACTGGTTGTGTTTCAAGAATCATATTGTTTTCTGACAAACTCGTTGCGGTATAAACTTCTGTTAGACGTATTACTTTCAATTTAGTAGATGTAAAATTTTTTTCAGAGGTAATTCTACATATCTCTACAAATTAAAATTTAATGATGACAAAGTTTAATTGCTTTTTTTTTTGTTGGTGAAACTGACTTCAAGGTAACAGCTTAATGGGATGAAACGTTTTTTTTGATAATCTAAATTTCCTGCTGTTCGAAGCTTTTTATTCAATACTTAGTTTTGGACCGGAAGCCTTGCAAACAACAACGCTTAAAAAACTTGTAAACGCCTGTAAAAGGCAAAGATTTTCTTTACAAAAAGTTGTTTCTGGGAGAAAGTGTTGAGTATAGGAGTTATTGCTGTATGGACATAGTGCTGGGGAAAATAAAGAGAAATAACATCACAAAAATGGAAGTATTAAAGGAGGAGGAAGAAAGTACAATAAACGAATAAATGAAGAAAGAAGTCAGGCGCACTGATTCGGTGGTGAAGGTAGGATTTTGGCTACGAGAACTGTAACTAGATGCACCGCATGGTGTCAGGAGTCTGAGTAGACGATTCGGAAAGCCGACTCGAAATCGATTGGCAAAATAAATTTGACGGTGCAAGGAGTACTCGCAAAAGTTGATGATTTTAGAAGGAATTGTCAGTCCCGAGCGCGGAATACAGTTATCATTCCGAACTTGAAATTTTTGGGCGAGTTGCATTAAAAACAAATTTCATAACAGTGGCGACCAGTCTAGATTAAATGACCGTTCAATATAAACAGCTTTATATCTTTTACGCAAAAATGCCAATCTTGCATGTCTACATCAAGTTTTATTTAAAAAAAAAAAAAAAAACTCGGAAGAGTCTGTAGAGTGGCATAAAAAACTTGTTGGAATTCTGTCTAGATGTTGCTGGTTCTTAATGAAAATGAGCTTTTCAGTTTTCATGAAAAGGATTGGTTGCAAGCAGCTCATTTTTATTCGCCTATTCATCATCAGACCGAAGAACAGAACGAGAGGAACTGCGGCGAAATTTGAGATGGTTCTGCGGTCGTCTGTGCGAATTAACGGCAATAGCAACAGTGGCAGCATCTACACCAACAGCGACTTCATTAGGTATCTATAAGGCTGAAAATTTGCTGCTAGAAACGCCACTACTAGCACTTGTAAGGATGTCTTTGAGAAGTAATAAAGACGAGATTTGGAGTGGTCGATTTGCGGTACCAAGATCAAGCCCTATACGGTAACATTTGTATAACTCTTCAGAATTGATAATACTGCAGCTGTACACTTTTCTTTAATCAAGTTCTGCATGATTCTTAAAAATTTTATGGGAAGAAGAAATGAAGAGACGTTTTTTTTGTTTTATTTTTAAGAAATGACTAAAAGTCTGTGCGCGTAAGCCTACAAATTTACTGCATTTTTTTATTGGACGTTGATGTCTGTTTAGTTTCTGTAAAGTGATAAAGATATTGTAAACGTTCTGCTCAAGTTAGATTTGCTTATGGTGCAAATGTGCGTTTATTACCCAGCAGTAATTGTACCTGACCTATGCATACCAGAAATCTGCAATAGAGGTTTTCTAATAAACTTCTATTGTTAGTTATCGTTCTTAGTACTGTTCTGAGCTCTCGTCAATTATTTCATTTTTTTGTGTTAAACAGTCTCTTGTTTCATCGGTAG